TAATTTTACTCTGCTTTTAGCACAGAAACTTTGAGTTCAAAAAAAGATGTAAAATCAAAAACTGTTTCTGCCTACAGCTAAATTGTATATTTCCCTGTATTTACACATGCAATTATATAAATAACAAGTGCAGACATAAGAGTTTGCCTGCTATGCATTTACTGCGCTTTCAGTAAAAGCACTGTATTTTTTTCTTTCGTAAATTAGACGGAACTTACTCAAAACGTGGGCGAATCTGGCTGCTAGCTATTTCTACCACGACAGGGAAGCACTCTCTCGATAACAACTTAACAGCTGGGACTGGTGTTCTTTCCAGTGTCTGTTATTCCCAGATCCATGTATACGACTTAAGCTGAACTCCACACATACCTGCCTGCTCTCTTTCTGCCTCACGCCCCTCATGTGTAAAATGGGAATGATTCCCAAGTCTATTTCATAGAGCTGTTGTAAGCAATAAATGAAGGGGCCGGAAGGTGGTGTGGTGGTTAAGGCACTGGACTCCCTCCCACACGGTCAACTATGGTTTGAGTCCAGATTTGGTGGCTTGCTTTCTCACTTTCCCCCTCTCTCTCTCTGGTCAAGTTAAAAATAATAATAAATAAAATTCAAATAAATAATTTAAAAATTAAAAAAAATGAATTCACTTAGGTAAAGTCTCAGAGGACCATGCCTAGCATATGGTAGGGCTAAAGAAATATTCTTGGTATTGTTAACCATAGCAGGAGAGACACAGGTAAATTCAATCCTCTTTTAAGAGAACGATCTTTTCATTCTTTTGTTATTAAATCATCCAAACACTATGAACTCCTATTTTAATGATTCTAAATCTATCAGTCTTAAGATTCATAAGTGTATTCCTTCCTTACCGAAACGAATGGATATCTATTTAAAGATTTTTTTACAAACATGGTTAGCAATGACTAATATTTCCCAATCACAGCTAACATTTTATAGTAGAAAGGAGGGTCTTACCTATTCAATGAAGTGGTAAAATAGTTAAGTTTGTGATATTGTGTTCTCAAAGAGTTGATAGTATGTTCTGGCTTCCTTCTGTTAAAAAAGAAAAAAAATGATTTAGAAGATTAGCAATTTAATTTCCAGTCGATGTGCATCAATCATATCACGTGGTTCAGAGCAAACAGTTTTTCTATTTGTGTTGTCACTATGACATTACAAGATAGACTGCATGATGGTTTTTCTAATATATCACAGGCTGAGCATTTCTAACCTCCTAGGAAAGTACTACCTTAGATGTATGAAATAGAACAGTAGAAATGCTGATCATTGCCTGTTCTTTTCCTCCCTTTTTAGCTTTACTTCAGAGAAGCTTCATAAGTACTATATCCAAGGAATGTAAACTTTTAAATTATTTTCAGGTAATACATAGCAGGCAATCATACTCTCTGCCAAGAGAATACATGTGGCCTGGAAAATCATTAAGCAAACTCTATAAGCTTTAGAGGATTGGCCTCTAGCCCAGGCTGCACTGGTGTCTCCAACACAGGATCAGAAGGAAGTTTTTAATAACCAGTTAAATTATCTCCACAGAGTACTAAGCTTATTTTGACATTCAGAATCCTAAAAGTCATCCTAGATTTGTATTTCTACTTATAAACGCCATCCAGAACAAGACAGAACACTTCTGACTGAAGCAGTGCCTAAAAATAAATAGAAGTAACAATACTAAATGGCATTAAGCTTGTTTTCCTACCTCAGAAGCCATTCAGATGTAACCATCCTCATCCATGGGAACACTACCAAGATGCAAATATATAAAGGATTGCAGAGCTTTGACCCATTTTGAAGTTAGCACTCCTACATTAGATGCCTCAATCTATGTATCTATATATGTTTTTACCAGGACATGTATGATTTCACTCCTGGTAGAGTGGGTCCCATCATATCCTCAAGGAAAATGATGCTTTATAAATAAGGACTCTAAGATTCAAATTATGATATTGATGAACTCTTCTTTAAAATTCAGCAGTTTTTTAATGCAAACTTAGAAGGACAAAATACAGATGACTTAACCCTTTAAGTGTATGGATATGAAGAGACAAGAGTCTGATTCAGAAGCAATCAATATTGAGTGGGCCAGGTCCTTTGTTAAGTGTCTTTACATACTCATTTAATCTATGATTATTCACACACAATGTGCAGCAGCAAACAAATCTACTAGTGAATTTTATATTATAGGTAGAATTTTTCATATCCTCTAATCAGTTGATAATTACTTTAGGGAAAAAAAAAAAAAAGATTTAACTGCCCAAAGCTCTGCTCACAGCCTTTTTTCTAGTGCAAATGTTCTTAAATTTGGAATCTATATAACATTATCCCACAGAGTTTTATACACAATAACAAGACTATTTGAAGAATTTTTAAGAGTATTTTTCATTATAACAAATTAAGACTTGTAGCTTAAGTTTAGAATAAAAACAAAATGGTACACCAGCCTCAGACTTGTTTCAGCTAGTGAGTCTTTGGGTATTTAATGAATAAATGCTGAATAAAATATCATATAATTTTTTCTCTTTAAATTCCATATTTTCCATACATTCTTGAAAGTACATTTTTTATCACCTTCATAATTTTTAAACTGCATGCAAGCAGGTGTATAAGGATGTAAGTACACATTATACATGTGTGTAAATACACATTGTATATGTGTGTATATCTTTTATCTTAGTAAAAATATGAAAACAAAAAGGAATTTCATAGAATAGGGGTCAACAAACTATGGTCCATAGGCTAGCTCCTTCCCACTGCTAGTTTTCGAAACACTACACATGCTGTCACACTGTCAAGCCCACTCATTTCCTTATTGTCTATGGCTGTTTTCAGAGTTGAGTAGTTGGGGCAGAGAATGTATGGTTTGAAAAGCTCAATGTATTTACTATCTGACCTTTTACCTGAAAACACTTCTTGACATACTTGAAATAAAAACATGCTCACCATTTGAGTAATGCTACAATGTTAAAGCAATATTAGAAAAATAATATCCCTTGAATCTTTTCAAAATTTAACTCAGTAGTTAAGAAAGAATGAAAGTAAAATTTTAGCCCTTAATACTTTTAAAAACTGATTTCATCCCAAAAGAACTAGGAAATTATTGGCCAAAGGATATGATCATTCAGGATATGAAAATTCAGGGTACCTAGTACATATTAGTCATAAAAACAATGCCCATTTACCCAAAACCTTGACTTTTCTGAGTTTGTTTGTTATAAAAATGAAAATGACTATTTCTTTCCACACTTTATTCTATGAGAGAGAGATAAATGCCATCTGAGATTTATTTTTACAGAGCATCTTATGGCCTATTCCATTAGGCACACAAAATTGAATAGTCAATTTAACACAGTAGGGTTAGAAGTGATCATTTTTATTCCATATCAAAATAATTTAATTACTCCAACATAGTTTTTTGTTATGAATATTATTTGACAGAGTTTTAGTACTAGATACATTGTAAACAATGGCCATGGCATCCCTAAAATAATACTTATACATATTTATACAGCAGTGATTGTGTACTTGACAGTACTCTGAGCACTTTATATATTCTAATTCTTTTATTTCTCACTATTACCCTTTATGACAGTGCTATCCTCACTTTACAGATGAGAAAATAGGCCAAGAGAGCTTTGGTGTCCTTCCTAGCATCACACGATGAGAAAGTGGTCAAACCTCGGCCAAACCAACTTGATAGACACTGAGAACTGATTTTAGATTTTCATCCCTAGTTAAAGCCAACTTTAAGCATACGGGCTTGTGGCTCCTCTGAGAAGCAGTATTTCACTGATGGTAACTTTTATATACTAAAAATACTTATTAAATACTTCACTATTCAGTATGTTCAGCTTTGTGAACAAATTAAAATTTACTCCCATGTTCTCTACTTCATTATTTTGAACAGGTTTGCTTATACCACTCTCCGGAATCTCATAGTTGGGTATGAAAACTTTTGAGAATCATGACTGATAATACTTGGCAAAATCAATTGGTTAATAAATATGTTTAAGAACTATCCAACAAAAGATAGAGAATAGGATGTATGTTGTATGTTCAAAAAGTAATAACTCATATAATGAGACATTCATAATTAAAACTTGTTAAGTTACAAACCAAATCAATTACTATCAACTGATTACTCAGATAAATAGGATATATAATCAATTTACAGAGGATTCAAATGATATATATCTGTTGGCATATTTATATGCAAATTATGGGCACAAATAATATCAAAGTTAGAATGATAAAGTCAAGCAGACTTTTAGAATCTCATGGAGAAAATATTGTCAGGGTGTAGTTTTCTCAACTAATTTAAGAAGCCATATTTCATGAAAGAAAAAAGTCATCAGGATGACTTTTCTGGATTTTTAAGCCAGGATATACTCTTTTTTTGCCTTTTAAACACATTCTAGCACAAATATCACTTGGTTATTTAATGTTTTGATAGATTTTTCCAGATAAGGAAAACACTACAATGCTTGAAGTTTCTGGAAAGCTAAATAGTGTTTCTGAAGGCTAAACCTAACCTCAGTGATTAGCATTTGGCTAATCAGTTGGCTTTCAAATAAACAACAATAATATTCTTCTCCTTCTGTATCAATCTGTTCTATGATATTTGGAACAGTTCATGTAATTCTGCCTAGTCCAGAACAACAAAATTTTAGCTACTGAGGATTAAATTGCCAATACAGTTGGGAAAATATTCATTATCCAAACAGTTTTTAAATAGAAGAGCAGCTGCCAACATAAAATCATTTAGTCTAACATGCTAATAACCATTTCTATTCCCTAACATACTTAGAATCAGTTCATTATCTACTTATTTATGAGCAAAGGAATGTCATGGTGAACCAAAGTCACTGATAGTTGAACAGTTCAGAGAATTATCTTTATTTTTTTTCTTGAGGCTTTTGTCAATGTTCCTTTGAGGAGAACATTATGTTTCTTGCAAAGGAAACGTATTTCAAAATATGCACTTGAAAGAAATAAGAACTGTTAACAAAATCTCTATTCAAAAATTTATAGTCTTCAGTTGAGAAGATAATTTAGGTAAAGGTAGACAGTAAGAATTTTCCCCTTTCATCTCCAAACCTAATACTTCAGGCTGCTGCTGACGACTAGCAGGCTGGATTAAGCTGACTTAATAGACATGTTATAGTCTTGTCCAAAGCATCTCAACATAATTCAAGGCAGTAAAAATAGTATACAAATAGGTGAAGGATAAATGTTGGATTAGTCAAAAATGTCAGGCTTAAGTCTCTGAAGCTTTGCACAATAAAGGTTTATATTCTGTTCACATAAGTCCTAATGTGAGTAAGGTGACTCTTCAGACTCTGTACAGTGACAAAAATAAGTATGTCCTTCTTGTGGCTCAGTTCATAGCCTTGAGTATTACAGTGGCTCACCCTCTCTCACATAGAGGGTGAGTTCTGGCTCTTAAATGCATTAATGAAAATGTGACACTCTTCACTTACTCTCACAACCCACTGGGCTAAACCTAGCTTTGCTTAAATGAAAGGGGTTGAGAACATGGAAGATAAATGGATATTTGGTGAGCAATAAATATCTCAATTGCCAAGGTGAATGAGGCATATGAGATTATCTAATAGCTACATTAGACTCCTTCTTCATTATAAAGGGTTGAAAAGAAATAACCATGCTTAGTGATATCAGCTGAAAATTTATTTTGTTAAGTTGTTAATGTATGCTGTCTTTGATCGAATATATATATATATATGTATGTATATATATATATATAAAATACACACACATATATCTATATAGATAGATAGATAGATAGATAGATAGATAGATATACATATATATTTAAACAAAATATGAATTGGTATAGCAATGTAGAGAACCTTGGGCAGCAACAGGATCTATGCCAGTGTTTTTGTTTATTTGTATATTGGACTACTGTTTTCTGCTCAGAACCAGAATATATTTAAAGAAATGTACTACTTCTTCCCTTGGCAGAAAACCATCTATTCATTTAATTCTAATTTTCATGCATACACCAACCTTTTCATTTT